GTATGGGTAGCGCCTCCACGGGTACAGTCTTACGTAAAAATTATGAATTACTTAGTTACAAGCTCATACACTTTTGCGGCGCGTATAATCTCTTATTTTTTGACAATATTATACCATGACAACTACCTTAAAATAATTTTTTCAACAAATAGAAACTTATTTATTTAACAAAAATAATTTATTCATAAACAATATCACAGTATTTTATCATTTGAGTCATAAAAACAATTTCTAAATTTTAACAATTTTTGCACAACCACATAATTGACAAATTTTATTACATTGAAATTAAATAAATGCTTGATTAAGGAAACAATAAACAAAAAAGATTAATATTGATATTTATTAATAAAAACACTGTGTTTATAATTATTTTTTCATATACATATATGTATGCAGTAAAAAAAGTTTTTTATCAAATACAATATTTACAAATATTTACAATTTTTAATTACATTTCTTATACGGAGAAGAAGTAGACAAATTTTCCATAAAACATTTATAAGAAAAATTAATCTATTCCTTTTAAAAGTTACAAACTCATTCAATTATGAAATGGGAACATTCTATAGATAATTAAAAAAAAATCGTTTTAATGTGCCCCCGTTTTTTTATCATTCTTTGCTACATTTTATCTCTTGATTCATCAAAAAAATCGATAAAAAATTAAAGAATTGGAGAACAAATATTTTGAAAAGAATAATTATCAAATATTTCTAAAACAAAATAATTTGTTTTAACACCAGGTGTTCCAACCAAAGTAACAAAGAATCGATTATCTTTGAAATGATTTTAAGTAATTAAATATTTGACAGCTTAATCACTATTAATTATCTGTGTACACAATTAACAAATGATATTAGTACTGATTGTGATAACTAATGCTGAGGTAATGGAAACTGATTTTTGTTTGCTAATTATATCAATTATTATTTAAATTACATTAATGTAAACTGATAAACGTGTTTAATTATTTAAATTTAATGAATAGAAACTTACTGTTGAATGAACAGAAGCCATAATAATTAAACATACCTTTAATCATAATAATTAGTATTTCTGAGTTAATAAAAATAATTAATTTTGGCACTTAAAAATAGCGTACAAAAATGTTTCCAACAATCTACAATTAATAAAAAAATGATTATGTAAATAAAACTTACATTTTGTAACGGTAAAAAAGTATGATTAATCATTAATCATAAATCTATTAAAAAAAATTTCATTTAAGATTTCGCAGCCTCGAACTTTAAAGTCGGACATTGAAAAATTTTTTAGGAAGAAACTAAAGTCCTTAAAGTCTCAAAAATAATCAGTAAAAAATTTTGTGTTACTGATGAAGTCTAGCCGTATTTTTTTATCTGATTAAAAGAAGTCTAATTATGTTTTTATTCTAAAATTGTGGTTTTTTAATATTTAATAAATTTTATTAATTTATAAAAAATATTTTCTAACAGTTAGCAAATAATTAGTTCGAAAATCGTTTAAGTACAATTAATTAAAACTTAACAAATTTACATTTCTTCAAAACAAAATTCTTTATCAGTGTGTAAAAAAATTTTTTTTCTCGACATAAAATATTATATGGACCCGACAATTATTTTTTTTGAACTTCAATGTTATCGCATTAAGGTAGTACCCCCGGTTGGAGATTTGCCTTTCAGAATTTAATGAAATTTGACATAGTAAAAAATTGTAGTAAGATAATAAGCCCTCTAAATTTTTGAAAAGCTCAAGAGAACCAGTCAAAAACATTGAGCTTTTAAAATTTTAGGGTTAAACATTAAGGAGTTACATGAGCTTACGCCGTTAAAAAATGTACTTTAGCTTTGACAGCATGATTTCTGACAGGATCATATGAAATCAAAAATCGAATTTTTAATTTCAGATTTAAAAAAAATTCAAATTTCGCTCAAATTTGGACCACAATTTGGTTTTTCAAAATTAGTTGTGATTAAGAAAAAAAAAATCCTTTGTCCAAGTTCTTGTCAAAATTATCTCGAAGACGCGTCTGAAATTTCATCAAGATCGGTTCAGTAGTTTTCAAGAAATCTTGACAACCGACTTTGAAAAATTAGGAAAACGGTTGACCCTAAAGGCCATCCCTGCAACTTCCCGCTAATTCCGTTAATACATGGCCGTATTTTTTGAGCTCTTTGAGCTCAAAAAGATACCTTTTCTATGCTTTTGAGCTCTTTGAGCTCAAAAGTCTGATAGAAGTTTCATAGAACACTATTTTTTGAATTTTCAAACCGCAATAACTTTTGAATGAATTAACCGACTTTTACGCGGTCTGCGGCATTCTACGCAGTTTTTTAAGCCTCATAAAGAATTTCTAAGTTTCAATTGGTCAAACTAGAAATTTCGGAGTAACTCCGAAAAAACACTTTTTTCGGTTTTCTTTCGTTCACGATATCTCGAACGAATCAACCGATTTTGACCGGATTGGCGGCGATCGACGTGGTTTTTCAAGGTTGAGAGCTGATTAGTTTTTGGAATCGATCGGTAGAGCCGTTTGTTTAAAAGTTATTCCGAAAAAACCACTTCTGAAAAACTTTTTTTTCCTATTTTTTTGAGATTTCTCCAAATTTCTCAAAATCTATCGGTCCGAATCGGTTCAAATTTTCAGGAAATCTAAGTTTGGCGAAGCCCTTTCGAATGACACTAACCGCGATGAAATCGGTTCAACCGTTCAAAAGTTATAAGAGGTTTACATATTTACACACACACATACACACACACAGAATCCCTAATTTAGCCTTAAAAACCATCATAAAGGCAGCTCCAACATTATTCCTAGACGCTTATAATGCATGCCTCAAGGAGGGGACTTTTCCTCGTAAGTGGAAACAGCAACGATTGGTACTGTTACCTAAAGGGAAGAAGCCACCAGAAGAACCGTCATCTTACCGACCACTTTGCATGCTAGATACGGCGGGTAAGATATTTGAGCGCATAATTCATCAACGAATAAATGCAGTAGTCGACCCACTCCAGGCAGACAATCAGTATGGATTCCGGAAAGGACGATCAACCCTGGACGCAATCAAACTGGTTGTTGATACGGCCAAAGAAGCAATCGCAGGAACCAGATGGGA